GAAGGAAGGAAGGAAGGAAGGAAAGGAAGGAAGGAAGAAGAGGGGAAAGATCCGGTGTGAAAAACAATGTATACGAATTTTTTAAGAAAAGCAGTGTAAAATAAAAAAAAATTTCTATTAAAAAAGAATCACAGGGAAAGGGGAAAATGCTTGCAATCTTTTTATTTAACTAAATTATTATAAACTGTACCTATTTCACTATCACAGCATAAATCTTTCCCAGAAGACTTCTAGATAAGAGCTCTTAAATTCACTCTAAGTAGCATCTTAATAATCATCTCACTGATAAAAATGTCTAACTTTGCGAACATCTAAAAAAAGAGGCATGAAATGACTATCAGTTTGTTCATCTGATAAATGAATTAGTTGAACAGTGTTCCCGAGCTCATTTCAGGTCAGTTTCTAAATCTCCTTTTACTTCATTACGATTAAGGAGCCAATTAGGTTGTCCGGATGCTGGGCATCCTGGGAGTTGTAGTTTCAGGCTTCCTCATCCTGACTACAACCTACACAAGAGCAGCTGGAGGACGGTTGCCTGGTATTATTAGCAAGCGGGAAGTATGGCGGTGGCGCGCGTCGACGCGGCTTTGCCGCCCGGAGAAGGTAAGGCGCTCTCTACCTCTGGGTCTCAAGCTTTACTCCACGAAGGTGGTTTTAAAAAGTTGCCCCGTGGAAAGAGGAAGCCTGGATTTAGGGGTACAGTTCTGGACCAGTTCTTTTGATGCGAGACTGTGGGCGTCGCGAGGCGCGCTGACCTCTGGGAATTGTAGTCTTTAGGCGCAGTCCAGTTCTCCGGCCTACCTGCTAACGATCAGATGAAGGACTACAGGCCCCAAGGGCCTTCGCGCTACTCAGCGCTCGGGCGCCCGCGCTCCCTAGGCTGGCTGGTCTCTGTTTCGGACTGTGGTGTCTTTTTCTGGACGTTTGCCTTGTGTTTCGGGAGACTAAGTCAGATTTGCAGGACCTCCTGTTTTTTTGCCGCCACTTTCCCCTGGGTTCCTAAAATATTCAGGAAAGTCTACCTTAAACACCTGCCATTAAACACTGACATTGAACCCCTCCATGGAAGTTGCCGGTGGCTGTGATCAAATTTTGGGGGATTATCCCTAGCCCACAGTTCTACTTCACATGCACCCCATGTTCTACTTTATAGGTCCTGAGGTTGGAATTGGCCGCTCAGCAGAGCCTAGGGTATGAATGTTCTGTGGTCAGGAGGTACCTCTGTGGGGCACGGGGCGTGAACTGAGCTCCTTTGTTTTGGTTACGGTTCCGAGGCTGCACAATAGTCGTTTGATCTAGGGACTGGCCCTGGGAGTAGAAGCCAGTTCCACTTTTTAGACCGGGGAGCTCATTAATTTGGACCTTTAAATTCTTTGGGGGAGGGGAGGTGATGCTTTGAGTTCTAAGAGGTCTGTCAAACGCCTTGGAATTGTGTGTATATGGCTTTTGTAGATTCTTAGGAGCCCCTTGGATCCCCCATATGCTGAATGCCATTGGGCTTGGAAAAAGGTTGAAACCCTGACGAGAGTAATCCAGTGTAGTTATTTCCTTGCAGTACTCATCTAGGTATAAATTTGAAATTGGCTGTTCTCAGGCCACTTCTGATGCCTGATTCTATTAAGCACCACCTCTCTGCCCACTTAGGCAGTTTACTGACAATCATCTCATTCTCGCATAGATGAGCCTCCGTTGAGTCTCCAAACGAAATCTCACAGAAGGCAATACCCATCTTTCTTCCAGAGCTGTTGGAGGATTCGAACTGCAAGACAAGCATGGCCTTTGAGTTAGCGACTCTTTAAGAGCTAGGCCACCAGAACTCCTACTGACAGTCATAACTGTTAACATTTATAGAATGTATTTTTTTATGAACTAGATGATGTGCCAAGTGCTTTTCTTACATTATCTAATTTTCTGTGTAGAGCAACATTATAATGTACGTACTGTTATCCCCATTTTATAGAGTAGGCAAATGAACCCCAAAGATCATGATCAAGATAATCACTATGGGGTACCTGGTGAAGTCAGTATTTTAATATCTATTTCGTTATATTAAATGCTTTACTGAATGTTGTGTGCTGGGATATTAAAATAGCAAAAGAATTAAAAAAATTAGTTTTGATACACATATTAATGAAACAGGTATAATATCTCTATTTTAGAGATGAATGAACTAATTTTTTAAGTTGTAAAAGTACCTAGTTAAATGCAACTTTGACGAAGTTTGCAGTTTTATGGTGACTAATAATAGTCATAATGAGACAAAAGTCTTCAGAAAAAAACAGTGATATTTTTAGAATAAAATATGCTTAAGAAAACAAAAGTATTTGAATGATTAAAGCATATGAACAACAACAATGTTTATATTATAGAATATTTAGATAATATCTTCTAACTTTATTTTTAATATATAAATAAAGTTAAACAGATGTTTTGCTCTAATATACAAAATTTTTTTACATTTTAAGGACTACTTTTTTTTTTACGATAGTTTTGGAACAGGCCTACAAATACAAAGAAAAGAAATCTAAGACTAAGTAAACATTTCAATATAATAATGACTTGTGATTTTCAGCACCCTATTTCAGTCTGAAATTGTTTTCTTTTGGACCATAATTTGTATTGTCATCCAGCTGTGAAAGGAAAGCATTTTTTTAAATTTTCTATTTTATTTTATTATTTTTTGTGCATGTACCGTCAAATCAGATCTGACTGGTGCAGGAGGAAATTGTCCCTCCTTCTCTGGCAGAGCATCTGCTGGATTCAAACCGTGTACCTTAGGGATTGCAGTACAGCTTCTTGCCACTAGGCCACCAGAGCTCCCCAGGAAAGCATTTTTAACTCTGCTTGTGCAAAGGCGTTTATGAAACAGAAAGAAAGCTGCTTGGACTTTTGCTTAGTAAAAGCTTCTAGTTACCATTCTTTGTCTTTTTTTTTTTAATGAAGCAGTAAAAATCACTGATTTTTATTGCTTATTTTATTAATCCATTTAATTAACTCATAGGTACATACATTTTTCTTTTCTCGATTCTTTGAAAAGTAGTCTCCCATGGCAGCCACAAATGCTTCTTGCAGTTGCCTATGGCAAGGGCAAGGATGAGTTACATGTGTGAAGGAAAGGAAGCCAAAGATTCACATGAGCAACATCAAAAGAACCTGAATGTCTTTCTCTGTTGATGATCACACCAACATGGCCAAGATTTGCTCCACTAATTACCATTGGTGATTTGCTCCACCCCATCACCAATCACACATTGTCAGCATTGAATTTGATGAAGTCTGTTATCTTGCCAGCAGCTAAATTAATCACTACTGTGTTGTTCACCTTGATGAGAGGATCTAGGTAACTGATGGTTCGAGCATCATGAGTCATCAGGTGTGGGATTCCCTTTGTACCTACAATATCTTCCTCACTGTGCTATACTTTGCTTCTTCAGCCATTATACAGCAAAACCACCCTTAGTGTTATAGATCAGGCAGAAATGTTCACGTGTATTCTCAGTGCTGAAGAAGTCTGTGAAACCAGCAGTATTTGTGATGTATGAACTTTGCTGTCAACTCTGATGAAATGCTCCGTGCATATTTTCTTTACCTTATTTCCAGTCAGTATATATTTGAGCTTATTCCTGAGGCATGTTCTAAAGGGAATACATTCTCTCAGACTGTGGGGACAAGAAACAAAAAGCCCTTTTAGTTTGTTGAGCATCAGTGCTTAGATCCCATAACTCCAAGTTTTCTTGGGGCCCTGGGCAATGATGACCATTGTAAAGGAAAAAGCTAGCAGGCTTTTTCTTGACTCTATTTTTCTGAGAGAACTGAGCTATAATTTTCAAAATAGTTGGATACTTGATAATATACTAAAAGTTAGGTTATACATAAGGTTGATCTTTATACATTGTTCCATATTTTAGAAAGTTATTTTTACTTAGTCCTAAAATATGTGTGCAATAGCTCATGTGTCAGTGTGACCAAAGTTATTTGAGAAACTTGAGCAGAAAATCAAATCACAAATTTAGCTGTATTTCTGAGGAAAAGTGAATTATTTCATTATGTGGTCTCTTAGAACTCAGTATTGGTTTACTTTATATTTGTTAAGCTTCAGTGTATTCACTCATATTGACTGGAATTTGCCAGATGACACACCATCACCACCACCAATGGCAGTGTTTTCTAAGTTTAAACATATTGATTTTAAAATTGGAGTATAATTTCATTCTGTCTTCAGCTATTGTATTTCTTTGTGTTTTCCACTAATTTCCCTTCTTTTTTAAGGATCAGTGGTCAATTGGTCAGGCCAAGGACTACAGAAATTAGGTCCAAATTTACCCTGTGAAGCTGATATTCATACTTTGATTTTGGATAAAAACCAGATTATTAAACTGGAAAATCTTGAAAAATGCAGACGATTAATCCAGGTAAGTAATATTATTTGGGGCAAGAGCACACAGGATTATTAAACTAAAATCAGAAAACAAAATAGCAGTAAATTTTGACTTAAATTTTTACCTAAAAGTTTCTCATGAAAATGAAAACATGCATGCAGCACTTATACTAGAGGAAGAAGTGTTATTTAAAAAGAATACATTTGGTTGCAGGCAAAATGCCAGGCAGCTAAGATAACCTTTTAACTCATGATAGGGGTAAAGAATTCATTCATCAAAATGTTTGTAAGATATCATTTCACCCCACTAAGAATAGCAAAATTTTTTTTTTTTTTTGGGGGGGGTTGGTGGGGACAGGGGCACGCGCGGTGTGCGTCGAGGGGAACCTGGGCTAGCACGCCAAGCCAGTCGGCCAAGAGCGCTGAAGGTCGCGCGCAGAACGCCACCGCCTCGCCACCCCAGAATAGCAAAATTTAACAGAACAGCAAGCAACAAATGCTGGAGAGGTTCTGGAGAAACTGGAACACTTACTCACTGTTGGTGGAAGTGTAAAATGGTGCAACTACTGTGGAAGGTGGTGTGGTGCTTTCTCAAAAAGTTACAAATAGAGATACCATTTAACTCACTAACCCATTTAATTCCACTACTAGGAATATATCCCAAAGAGACCATAACTGCCACTCAGGCAGATATATGCACACCCATGTTGTTTTTCGTGGCTTTGTTCATAATAGCAGGGAGTTGGAAACAACCTAAGTGCCCATCAACAAACGAATGGGTAGGGAAGCTGTGGTGTATTCACACAATGGAATACTATGTTGCATTGAAAAACAAGGAACTCATGCAATATTATTCAAAATGGGTGAGCCTGGAGGACATTATGCTAAGTGAAATATCTCAATCACACAGGAACAAATATTGCATAGTGCCACTGTTGTAAAACAGAACTGACATCAGGATTAGGGGAGACTGAGAAAGATGGGTTCAATAATGTATACTGCATTGAAACAGATGAGGGAGAAAACTGTTTAAAAGGGATATGTGATTAGATATTTTTTGTCGTGACAGGAGTCCAGAACGAAGGCTGCATAGTGGAGTGGACCTTGGGGGGAGGGATTGTAAAACAATGAAAGAATTTTTCTTTTACTTTTCAAAGAGAAGAGTGTACTGGTGGTGAGGGGTGGTCAGGGAGAAAAGTGCAACAGTGAATGAATGGAAATCCAAAGTCTCTGTCAATTTTCATTAAAATTAATAATAATAAATTTTTTTTTTAAAGAAGATGTTTGGGGAGCTCTGGTGGCCTAGTGGCAAGAAGCTGTACTGCAATCCCAAAGGTACACGGTTCAAATCCACCAGATGCTTTGCTGGAGAAGGAGGGATAATTTCCTCCTGTACCAGTCAGATCTGATTTGACGGTACATGCACAAAAAATAATAAAATAAAATTTAAAAAAAGAAGATGTTTGTGGGGCCTATGTTAAGAGTTGCCAAGAGTATGAATCAATTTGATGGCAGTGGGATTTTTTTTAGTGTGTGTTTAACTTTGCTCTCAGTCTTGAGAATAAAGGACATTGTTCTTGGTGTAGATTATGTTGCTGCACATGTTGCTGTGTTGAAAATATCTTCTCTTACATGCTTGAGGAAGGTCTGATTACTTAGTCTTGTCTGATTTCTTTTTGCTTAGCAACAACAGCAAAACAACCCCTAATGAGTACATTATGTGTACGTTGTAGAATATTTAGACAATCTGTGTGAAAATATACATTTGATTTGTTTATTTGGATGTGGTTGGCCATTTAAAGAAAATATTTAAATGAAATATGACAGCAAGATACACATTTTATTCTCCAGAATAATGAGATGTTTCCTTTCTACAGTTGTCAGTGGCTAATAATCGGCTGGTGAGGATGATGGGTGTGGCCAAACTGACCCAACTCCGGGTGTTAAATTTGCCTCATAATAGTATTGGCTATGTGGAAGGACTCAAGGAACTGGTACATTTGGAGTGGCTCAATCTGGCAGGAAATAATCTCAAGGTGATTTTTTTTTAAAATTATAATAGTATTCCCTTCTCTATAAGAGAAATTCACACAGGATAGAAATAAATAGAAAGTATAGAGTATCTGTAGTACTTTGTATATGCAGAACTTACAGTGTTTTTGTAAGACAGGTAGAGAACTCTAGTGATCTAGTGGGTTAGGAGTTGTGTTACTAAGTGATTTGAATTCACTAACTCCTCAACAGGAGAAAGATGAACATTCTCTTCTCGTGTGATTTACAGCTTCTGAAAACTTACAGTAGGATTAACTATGAGTTGGTTCTGACTTGATGGCAATGAGAGAGAGGAAATAAAATTGCTTTATCTACTGGTAACAGAAAAAGAAAAAAGTAAATAAACAGTGGAATTATTCTCACTCTTCAAGGATAATCTTTAATAACAAGCTTTAAAAGAAATTTATAAATATGTAGTATTGTGGTGTAGTTGTTGACTGCTGTTGAGTCGAGCTCAACTCATAGTGACTCTGAACAAAAGACCTAATGCCTTTCTGTAACTATCGTCATTTCTCCAAGTTCATAGAGTTTCCAGAGGCATGTGGTTAAGGAAGTGGATGCCACTTCTGCTTCCAAACCTGCTTTACAAATGGGAGCTCCATCAAACACTGTCCACATTTGAAAACCATTCTGGTATTTGATATCCCCATGGTACAAGGTTCAGCATAACAGCAAACCCAGGTTACTTCATAAAGCACATTGACAAAGAATTGATGTGCAAAGTGGAGGAGTATTTCTCCAGATATAAAAGCACTAGTTTCATTTAGCAGTGGTTAAGTGTCATCAAATGGAATACAACTGCGAGTAAGTTTTGCATGAAAGATCTGAACTGTAAATAACATTATTTCTGTACAGAACTCTGTTCTATAACTATTATAATTTCTGTACATTTATAGAGTTTAGAGTTTGTAGATAGTATAATTAAGAAATCAAGAATCAATCTTTATAAAAGGACATCATGTGTTAGACTAACATGTTAGAAGGGAGACTATACTATTCTAAATAGTTAATGTATAATGTAGTTGTATAATTTTGGGTAAATTAATAATTGTCTTGCTATTTTAATATACAAGGTAAAGGAACTTTATTAAGTGATAATAGTAGCTATCTTTTATTGACCACTTAAGTTGTGCTAGATAATATTAGCACCTTAGCTATATTAACTCTTTCAATTTCAGAATATCCTGTGATGTAGATATAGTTATTATGCCCAGAGAAGTTAAGTAACTTGTGCATAGTAACACAGCCAGGACCTTGTAGAGAGATATGCTATAAATTCAGGCAGTCTGAGGATTTCACTTGTAACCGGTAAACTCTCTGCTATACAAAATGTTATGTGTCATCACTAAAATTTCAAGTTGTAAATAACTGAGGTAATATGAATTCATTGACCTTCTTGTTAAATGATGATAAAGGTAAAAGCCTGTGGACCAGTTTATCCCCTTATGTTAATACTACCTCTTCTTTCTTTTGTTAAACCTAGCTTTTTTGCTTTGAGTAATAAAGAAAGGAGACAGGACAATGTTTTAGGTACAAATAATAGGGAAAAATTTTATACTTTGATTTTCTGTATGCATTCTGATAAAATTTTTTTCTTGCTGTAGGCCATGGAGCAGATCAATAGCTGTACAGTGCTACAGCACCTCGACTTATCAGACAATAACATACCCCAGATAGGTGATCTATCAAAATTGGTATCCCTGAAGGTAAGTCTCTTTTCTGGTCATGACATTTTAAAAATTTAATATCTAGACATCAAGAAATAAATTATTTGATTGGCCTGAACACAGCCCGGCAGCTCCAAACTCAATGCCCTTGAGTCACAATCGACTCATTGCTGACCCTCCAGCATGCTGTCAGAGGCCATAAACCACATGGGAGGAGATTGCTTATATTTCTCCCACAGAGCTGTAGGTGTTCAGACAGCCAGAGATGTGTGACCTTTAGGTTAGCAGTGCAGCTCCCTATGGTCTAGGACATTAGAGCTCCTTGTATGAAGAACAAGTTGTGTTTTTAGTATGGTACAAATTTTCTTGGTTTATTAGATGTTAAGTATAAAACTTTTTGTTGATAGTTTTTAGAATAATTATTTAATGAAAAACTAGTCATTGTTTTCTCTCTGATCCTATCCTCTGAACATAATGAAATTCCCTTGATGCTTCTACAAGTAGTTGTTGTTAGGCGCCGTTGAGTCAAGTGTGACTCATAGCAACCCTATGAACAACAGATCTGAACTCTGTTCTATCCTGTGCCATCTTCACACTTTCTGACACATAAGAGCCCATTGTGGCAGTCATCACATCAATCCACCTGGTTGAGGATCTTCCTCTCCTTCACTGACCCTCCAGCCTTCCTTGCATCATGTCTCTTTCCAAGGAATAGCCCCTCCTAGCAACATGCCCAAAGTAAGTGAGCCAAAGCTTCATTATCTTTGCCTCCAAAAGCACTCTGCCATTCCCTCTCCAAGACGTATTGGTTCATACTTTCGGCAGTCCATGGGATGTTCAATACTCTCTTCCAAAACCAGAGCTCAAAGGCATCAATTCTTCTTCTGTCATCCCAGTTCATTGTCCAGTTCTCAGTTGTGTAGCACGTGATCAGAAAAACCATGGCCTGAATGAGATGTGCCTTAGTCCTCAAACTGATGTCATTACTCCTCAGTAATTTGGACAGTTCCCTAACTGCAGACTTTCCCAGTGCAGTGCATCTCCTTATTTTCTAACTGCTGGTACCAAGGGTGTTAATTGTGGGTCCAACTAAGATAAAAGTTGTTGACAGTTCAATCTATTCTCCATCCATCATGATGTTGCCTATTGATCCAGTGGTAGGAATCTTTGTTTTCTTGACATTGAGATGCAATCCATACTGAAGACTGCATTCCTTGGTCTTCTGCAACAAGTGCTTCAAGTCTACCTCACTTTCAGCAAGCAAGATTGTATCATGTACATAATGCAGATTACTGATGAATCTCCCTCTAATCCTCATTCCACATTCATAGAGTCCAGCTTCTCAGATAATTTGCTCAGCATATGGATTGAATAGGTATGGAGAGAGAATACCACCCTGTCAAGATAGAGCAGGGTTCAGAGCTGTTGTACATAGGGTTGCTCTGAGTCATAGGTGACTCAATAGCACATAACAACAACAACAACAACAACAATATGGGCAATATATTAAATAACCCAGAAGTATCAAAAGAAGATGAAGGAATCCACAGAATCACTGCGCCAAAAGAACTGATTGACACTGAAAAATTTCAGGAAATACCATATGAACACGAGCCAATAGGAATGAAAGAGGAAGTGGAAGCTGCATTTAAGGCACTGGCAAAAAAATAAGGCCCCAGAATCAATGGGATACCAATTGACTTGTTTCAATTAACAGATGTAGCCTTGTATGAGCTGATCATGTTAAATTGTATATATCCTGTTGGTGAGGTAGAGAGTCACCATTCCTGATTTTGACTCAGTTTTTTGACACTCAGAATTATTTTTAATATTGTTACATTATGAAAATGAATTTTACTTTAATGTAGCATATAGCACTTTTATGGAGGGGAATATTCCTGTACTCAAATAAGTGGTAGTTTGAATCATAGTTTCAAGAGACATGTTACTGTTATTAGGTACCATCAAGTCAACTATCCTGTACCATTCTCACAATCTCTGATATGTTCCGGCCCATTGTTATGGTCACCATATCACTTCAGTTCCTTGAGACTCTCTCTCTTTCTAGGACCTTCCAGAACATGCCCAATCCTGAAACATGGGTAGGGTTTTTTCAGTATTTTGCTTCTTTGGCTATTATTAGCACCAAAAGGACTCATTAAATCTTGGAAGCAGTATCTTAGCACTGTTTGTCTCATATTTTTAGTAGAAATCATTTACAACAACAATTATTCTAAGCAATTTGATGTAGACAAATAGTATATTAATAGATGCTAAGAGGATGCAAATTAACAAAAGGTGATTGAACTTTTTTTTTTTGGTAGAGAGATAATAGATTCTAAGAGAATACAAATGAACTCATGGTGATTGAACCCTCCCCCTTTTTTTTAATAGTGGAGGCATGATTATCTAATAAGAATTCTGGTGAGTTTGGAGTCTTGGATTTATTTTTGGTTGTTGCTGACTTAGTTTGCATCATTTCCATCTGATGAGAGCACATTCTATCTGTCCTGAATTTTTAGCTTCCAAAACAATATTGTTGCAAATTATGGGTTGGGTCATTTTTGGAAAAATTTACTGTGTGCATGATTGTTTAGTTTTTTTTCATTCTCCATTTTGGTTTTTTTATAAGGAAGGAGGTTGGTATTGTTTAATATCTGATAAATCTTACAACATGCTGGTTGCTGTACCAAACGTGTTCATTGGACAGTCTCTAAATTTTCCTGGCCATAGGATGCTATGAGAGAGAAGCAGAGAGAGGATCAAAAGCTGCTTACGACTCCTATAATATTAACCACTTTTACTATTTCTGCAGTGAGAGAGAAAATAAAACATTCCTTCTGTCTTCTTGACACATCTTAGATACTGTTAAAATAGATCAATTTATTTGTAATATTTTTATCTGTAATTCTCCCTATTTTTATATTCAAGACTCTGCTTTTACATGGAAACATCATCACCTCTCTCAGAGTGGCACCAGCTTATCTACCCAGAAATCTAGCTATACTTTCCTTGGCAGAAAATGAAATTCGAGACTTAAACGAGGTAAAATTTGGGGGCATTCTATGGGATCAAGGAACCTGGATAGCCTAGGGAGGGCTCAAGAGAATGTTTAGGTGGGGTTTTTTCTTCTTCTCCTTTTTTTCTTTTTTTACTTTATTTGTTCTTTTTGTTTGTTTTTCTCAAGAGAATGTTTTAAGCTCATTTTCAGACTCAGCACTGAAAAAAAGGTTACCAGGAGTTTGGAGGAAAAAACCCACTTTAAGCTAAACGGTTATTTTTTTTTTTTTTACTTTTTCTTAATGTCAGTGTGTCATTAAACTTGATTTTATTTGCAGTGCTGCAATTACCATTGCGTTGGGAGATAATTAGTGGTAAAGGGACATCTGTGCTAAAAGGGCTAATTAGACACCATGTCTACCTTTTCTTGGTTGCTATTATGTTTTTAAAGTAGATTTTCTGTGCTACAAATTAGGACTGGTACTTTCTAAGGGACTTTGTGCAGTAAGAACAGATGGCCACATTGTTGGAATTTTGAAAAGTCAGCGGATAATAGAAGAGTGTTACTTGCCACTTTGCATAACAAGAAGGGATTGTTATATTGTCAGATACTGACAAAATCAGCGGAAGCCCTGTGCTTGACACTGAGTAGTTCATTTGGTTCAACAAAGTTATTCTTTGTTCCAGATCTCTTTCTTGGCACCCTTAACTGAATTGGAACAGTTGTCAATCATGAACAATCCTTGCGTAATGGCAACACCTTCCATTCCAGGGTTTGACTATCGGCCATATATCGTCAGCTGGTGCTTAAACCTCAGGGTACTGGATGGATATGTGATTTCTCAGAAGGAAAGGTGACTATGACTTCTTCCTTTAACGTCACATTCATCAGAGTCTTACTGAATGAATCCTTTTTGGTTTACTGCAGATATATAAATGGAATATTTTTAAATGTGTATTTTAAAATTAAGATTGTGAATATAGTTGTGAACTATATGCTCATTGTTTAGGATTTTCTGTCCTTTCCAAAAAGGTTAAGAAAGAAATACCACTTCCCCAAGTTCGGGCTGGTGTGTATAACTTATTGCTCAACCACAATAGTTTTGTTTCTAAAAATATTTTTGTTAATTAGTTATTTATGACTTGAAATACATTTTTGCATAAGAACCATGTCGTAGATGCTGCTTATTGTCTCAGGCCATTCTACAAAATCTTACAACCCATCAGGTTGTGTATCATAGTATCTAGGGAGCTCTGATGGCCAATGATAAGAAGCAGGGCATTGATGCCAGAGGTACATAGTTCAAATCCACCAACTTGCTTGATGGGAGAAGGATCGGCAGTCTCATTCAATTTACTGCCTGTGAAAATGTGCCAGAGGATCCACTATGAGTCAGTTTTGACTTGAGGGCAGCTAACAAATGACATTATCATAGTGCCTGAGAACCCAGCTGCCTTTTAGAACAACAACTATGTGGGAAAATATATATAGAATTCCAAAGAAGATATATTGTTGGATTTTTTTATGTGAGTAGGCCTGGAAGCATTTTCATATTGTGGTGACAAAGGCTTCACACCTTTCCCTATTACCTGTTGACTGTGTGGCTTCTCCGTGCCTTACTTTTCTCATTTGTAAAGTGTGGATAATAATACCTAACTTTCGAGGGTGTTGTGAGTATTAGAGGAGCCCTAGTGGTGGTGCAGTGTTAAAACACATAGCTACTAATGAAAAGATTGGATGTTTGAAAAAGATGATGCAATCTGTCTCTATTATAGAGATTTTCAGCTTTAGAAACCCTTTTGTGCAATTTTAGTTTGTCCCATGAGTCAGTGCCTAAGTGTGAATCCACTCAGTGGCAACAGTTTTGGGAGAATTAGTTAATGTACATTGTTGTGTACTGTCGAGGTGGAACCAACTCATAGCTGAACCTCCAGTGAATTTTCAGAGGCAGTTAATTGCACAGGAGGAAGTTTACCTTTTTTTTCATGTGGAGCAGCTGTTAGATTTGAACCAGTTGTCTTTGAGTTGGCGTCATAACTCCTTACCATTAAGCCACCAGAGCTCCCTATGTATTACATGGTACTGCTTATACTTTTTAAACAACAACATACTATGTGAGATATATGACATATAATACTATGCAATATGTTGTTGTGTGTACTGTTGAGTCAGACCCTACCCATAGCTGAGCTGCTATTTGGGTTTTCAGAGGCAGTATATAGCATATCCCATGGAGCAGCTTGTGGATTTGAATCATATTCTTTGCATTAGCAATGCTAAGCCATCACAGCTTCCCATCCAATATCTTGTTGTTGTTGTGTGATTTTGAGTCAAAACCAACTCATAGTTGACCCTCCAGAGAGTTTTCAAAGGCAGGAAGATCACAGTGAAGAAGGTTGCCCATCCTTTTTCCCCAGAGCAGCCAGTGGATTCGAACTGAATCACATGCCGTTGGGATTGCAACACAGTTTCTTGCCACTAGGGCAAGATTTCTTAACAAATCCTTAAATATGCTAGGTAGCTATTTTTTTATCTGCTGTCAGGGAACTCTCCAGAATACTGAGTAACAGCGTCAGTCTAGAGACTCTGGTATGCTTGATCCCGGCCATGATCTTTGCAATTACTTGCTATGCATCACAGAGGAGGACAGTGACTAAGGACTACAGAAGAAGAATCATTACCTTTGCATTTTGGTGCTGGAGAAGAGTCCTCATGGACTGCCAAGAGTAAAAGCAAGGATTTTGAAGCTCTCTCTCACATATTTTGAGCATTTGGCTACAAGGAATCAGTCCTTGGAGAAGGACATCATACTTTGTTTTTTTGTTTTTTTTTTTTTACAAAATGTAACAAGTAAACTTTAATGAAAATTACACCACTCCTTTCTCCCTTAAGACATCCTTTTGAAAGTACATGAAGACTGTGCAGAAACAGAACCATCTGAAAGGAAGCATGGGTAATCCATGGCTCAAACAATGCTCCATTTCAAAGACTTAACTGGTTTTGATTTAACAATAATTTTCATTATTGCCTTTATAAATTGTTTCTGCAACTGAACATCTGAGATAAGCAAATTACTTGCTGCAACATTACATTTAGCACATTATTACCAATAAGCTGTTTTTAAAAAAAGACCCCAAAACCAACCCATGGAAGCGGGGGGGGTGGGGTGGGGAATTTCTAAACACACACTGCATTGGGCTAAATCTGTTTTAAGACTCTTTAACAGTTTACAGTGGAAGATCTTACTTTTAATATTATGGTGTGCATGACCCAACAAGACTCAAAATCTCAGCTCTGAGATGGCACCGATCTAGGCAGTCTCCTTTCCTTTTACCAGGGTCACTATGAGCCACAACTACCACTACCTGTGAGAAGTGTCCAAGCATTGTGAAAAAGCACTTGTAACCAATTCTGTGTAGTTACTGAACAAAAAAAACAAAATATTTTTTCATGTGCATGACGACTGGAATAAATGGACTAGTACATTTTCAATCTGTATGCAGAACATAACATTGGCAAGACTGGACTTTATGAGGGATGCTGTATCAGGACTGGAGGCTCATCAACAAACTGTGTTACACTGGTAACACTACCTTGCTTTCCAAAACTGAGGAAGACCCAAAGCTCTTGCTGCAAGTCAATGACTGCAATCTTCAATATGGACCGAAGCTCAGTATCAAGAAAACAAATATTCTCTCCACCAGGCCAACTGGCAGCATTACGATGAAGACTGGGATTAACAATTACATTTTATTGGGATCCACAATCGATACTCTTGGCACCAGCAGTCAGGAAATAAAAAGAAGATGCTTTAAGAAAACCTATAAGCCAGGGACCTTTCCAAAGTGCTGAAGAGTAACAATGTCAGTCTAGAGATTAAGGTGCACCTGATCCAGGCCATGGTCTTTGCAATTACTTGTTATGCATCAGAGAGCTAGACAATGACTAAAGATGACTGAAGAATCGATGCCTTTGCATTGTGGTGCTGGAGAAGAGTCATGAACATATCTTGGACTGCCAAGAGAATAAGTCTGTCTTGGAGAGGATGAAACCAAGCTTCCCTTGGATGCTAGGATTTTGAAGCTCTGTCTCACATATGTTAGGCATGTTGTCAGGAGGGACCCTGGATGAGATGGATTAACAGTGACTGGGAAATGTGGGGCAGGTGTCAGAGATAGATTGGCTCAGGATAGAGCAGGGTTCAGAGCTACTGTACACAGTTGCTGAGTCGCAGTTGTCTTGCTAACACAAAACCAACCAACAAGATCAGTTTTGGCAAACTGGTTCAGTGGAAAAATGCTATCTAAGCTCTCGAGAAACCCAAAAGGACAATCAGACACGAGAGTTGCTCAAATAGAGATCTGAAGGGAGCACCCGCAGTCCTTCCTGGCTAGGCCCGCACAAGAACCAACCACTGGCATCATGACACCAGGGAAAATGTTTAACCAGTAGACTATTTGGTGGGGTATTTTTGTGTTGCCTGGTCAAGGCTTTATTTCATACTTGGTTTCATTCAGGTTAAAATGTTAATTAAAAAAACTGATGTGGACATTTGCTGGGTAGTCTTGTGGCTGAAGGTCTTCAACCTTAACCACCAGTGAAATCTGTAAGGTCCAACCTGCCACGTCATCCAGGTCCTTAAAACAGGACGAGATGGGCTGAACACAACAGGTAACATCACCATAGTCTCAAGTGGCAGCCACAGACCTCCATTCCCTCAACAACACAAGGACTTATGTTTTCTCAATAAGGCATTTCACTCTTCTCCCAGCTGGACAAAATTCTCAAAGCAGCCATCACTATTCAGAACCTATTTTTGCTTCTTTTGCTTTCTTCTTCTTTTTCTTCTTTTTGGTAGTGTCACTGTCCATATCTCCAGGCTTGTCTTCACTCTCTAGAGCAGATTTGGCCTTTTTGTCCTTTTTACTCTTCTTCTTTTCCTTCTTGATCAACTGTAGAACAGCTAGAGAGGCCTCTTTGTCGCTTTCACTCTCACTTTCTCGCTTCCGTTTTGTGATTCCTAGAGTTGCCACAGCTATCTGTGGAACCTCCACAGTTTCCACCACCTCTTCTTTCACAGAATCTCTGTAGTCAACATATTCCTGTGTCCACGCAGTGGGGGTGCTGTCTGTGGGCTTGCCATGCTTGTCCAAAAGGCCCTGCTTGATCATCTTCTTCTTCTCACTTGCCTTTGGACCTAAACCCCACTTCCAAGGGTATGTATCTCTCTCCATGATCACTCTCTTGATCTTAGCTACTACTCCATGGTCACAGGTGGCGATCACAGCTGTGGTCATTAATGCAATAGCTATGCAAATGGCCTCCCCTTTGGTGGTGATAACTACGATCTCCTGGTTGACCTCAATGCCATCCTCATACCGAAGGACACCAGGAAGCAAGATCTTCGCTCCATAGCAGATGGCGTTCACTGCACTGTCTTTCATAACCAGCCTTTTGTGGGACGTCAAGAGCTTTTCCAGAGGGAAAATAATGCGCCGCAAGTAGCTCTCATCTTTGTGATTATCATACAGCCACTGGGCATCCAGAACATCATGCATTGTCACCATATGGTCCTTTTCACTCATAACTCCAGAACGAACCCTCCGAAGTTCCTGCATCTGACCTCCAACTCCCAGTAACAAACCAAGGTGCACACACAGTGTCTGAATGTAGGTGCCAGCCTCACAGCTCACCCAAAAGATTCCTAACCTCCTCTCAGGATCATACTCTATCATTTTGCTCTCATAGATGGTCCGGACACGGAGCTGCCTCTTGACCGCAGCAATAAGTGGAGGTCTCTGGAACAGGGCGCCTGTCAGAGTTTCTAGTGCCCTAGAAAGCTGGATGCTCCCT